CAGTTGAGTCCAGAACGCAAGTCTTAGCCTCTGAGATATGAATCATTATATTTCAGACATACTCTATTTATATACTAACCAACCAGACCACATCGTACCATAAAATAGAAAACAACATTCGACAAGTGAAATAAACATCCACCAACAGGAAATATCCATTTAACGTCCAAGGACACCAATAGACTTAACACGATAATTATTGGTATATTTTTCTCTGCATCCCTAACAAGTCAGTTGAAGCAAGACAACCATGGAAAACCTGGAAGCACTAGACTGCCGTTTCGTGCTATTGTAGGACTCCTCAGCAGTACGCGTCCACGACCTCACACCACCCGCGAGATTCGAACCCAGGACCTACAGGTTTGGCGCGTGAGCACTTAACCATTGGACCATTAAACCGGCATCCAACGGTGTTAATGTCTAACTTCAACCAATCCACGAAATTGAGCGACACATCCACCATTGTCTTCAGTGAGTTACTATCACACAACAGACCGAGTTGAACTCCATTGGTCACTACTTCTCACTAGAACTTTATTACTTTGATTACTGCTTATTTCGATAATGCAATGAGAAGACAAAGTTTATCAGAATTATGTGATGATCCAATTACTGTAAAGTTAATTCAATATGAAGCAAACACCAATCATTTTGTTTAGAATGACAATCAACATGCCCAAACAAAATAAAGCAATCAAAGAATCTTACTAAATCTTACATTTCAATACTTACATATAATGTGTACAATTCAGTTGCATACAAAATCAATTACTATGGAATTTCTAAGATTGATAAAATTTTACCAATGAAATATACAGTTTGATCAATAAACTAAATTCATATCCAAGTTTCTTAAAGCTTGTAATACTAATCTTCTGATTGGACTGAAGTCAGTTCAGCTCTGTTTGAACCTGTAACCTACTAATTGACTGTTAGACACTTTGAACAGTAAACCACTACATCACATTTCTATAGCTATTTTTATGCTATAAATTTCATATATTACAACTATATCACGAGACAAATGTTAACTTGGAATCCTGAACGGAAACAGAAAAGACGAAATCCGAAGAACACATTACGTCGGAAACTAAAAGCAGATATGAAATGAATAAATAACAACAGGAAAGAGCTGGAAAGGATTGCCCAGGACAGAGTTGGATAGTGAATGCTGTTTGATGGCCTCTACTCCTCCACAAGGAGTAACAGACGTAAGTAAATAACCAAGTAAGTAACATCATTTTGTTATCATTCAACTTTAAAACTTTGTTAAATGATCCATTTGAATTATATTCCTATTTATAAATAACTGATTAAATATTTCTTTGTTTATATCTTTCATAGGGTTGTGCTGAAGCATTATATGAATATATAGAACAGTCTATTATGATAATAATATATATATGCATTGCATTCGCTATTATTAAAGCAATCTATTTGGCTATTTCAATTGTTGTTTATCGTAAATCGGATAAGAATAATTTATCTATATAAATAATAAATAACAATATTGATGAATGTAATGGAATCAGATAGATATGTACTTCATATTATTGATTTTTTTTTAAAACAAAGGGGGTGGGGGAATATAATAAAACTGACCAAGATACTATTACATTTCATTTCATTCTTTTTTCTTAAATGTTAACTTACATCTTTATTCCTATGTGTTATCTGACAGAACATTCGAAATTCTATTGTTGTTGCCAAATCACTTATACTACTCATAACAGTAATATAAATTATATATATGACTTCTTGATTGGTATTTTTTTCAGTGGTTAAGATCATGAGTCAGTTGAAGCTAGACCACCCTGGAAGCATTGGACGGCCATTTCGTCCTATTGTAGGACTCCTCAGCAGTGTACATCCACGACCTCGGCCCATGAGAGATTTTATTTATTTCTAAACAAGAAATAGAAATTTTCTTTAGATTAAATGTTTAGAAAGTTTAACATGTGAGATTACTTTATATACTTAAATATAATACTTATTTAGTTACAAATGTTACTACTCGTAGACGAGTAGAGGCCGCCCACCAGCACTGTCCATCCAACTCTATCCTGAGTAATTCTTTACAGCTCTTTCCAGTTACTACTCATCCTTTTCATATCTGCTTCCATTTCACAACGTAATGTGTTCTCTAGCCTTCCACTTTTCCACTTCCATTCACCATTACAAGTTAGGGCTTATCTCGTGATGTAGTTTGATGATTTCCTCAATTTATGTTTTATCCACTTCCAACGTCTTTTCCTCATTTCCTATTCAGATGAAAGTTAGGTTGTCCTCTCTCACAGAATAATCTTGTTGATGGTATCCAGCCAATGTATGTTGAGTATCTTGTGTAGACAACTATTTATAAATACATTGTATCTTCTTGATGATGGTTGTAGTAGTTCACCATGTTTCAGCTTCGAATAGTAGAATTGCTTTGATGTTCGTATTAAAGATTGTGACTTTAATATTGGTTGACAGACAGTTGTTTTGAGTTCCATATATTATTCAATTGTAGGAATGAGGTTCTTGTTTTGCTAACCCTCGCCTTTACGTCTGCATCTGATCGTCATTGTTCATCGATGATGCTTCCCAGGTATGTGAAGGATTCCACATCTTCCAGAGTTTCGCCATCAAGAGTGATTGTGTTGGTGTTCTCTGTGTTGTATTTGATGATTTTGCTTTTTCCATTGTGTATGTTAAAGCCTACTGATGCAGAGGCTACTGCTACACTAGTTGACTTCAACTGCATTTTTTCGTGTGTATGAGATAGAAGTGCTAGGTCATCTGCGAAGTTCAAATCTATCAATTGATTCTGAACTGTCAAATTTCATAATATCATTGAAATCATCAACTGATCAAAGTTAGACAATCATTAAAAATGTGCAAGTACTGAATAGACGTTTAGTCTGAGTATGGAACACCTCAGAATTGGGTACATACGAGCCTGTATATGGGAAAATAATCTAAGATCTTTGATCTTGAACACATACTCTTAGCCTATAGACTTTTGGACTGGGACTCAAGTACATATTATTAAACTATTAAACAGAGATGAGATGAACATGACGCAAATGTACATTATAAATATCAATTAGTTATTATATTCCAATCCAACCATGTTCAAAATTAGTTATTTCTCTTTCATGCTAATAATTAAAAGCTATGTCTAGTTAATTTACTGATACTTTCAAATGATAAGATGTGATACAGAAAAATTTCAATGTTAATCCCTAATCGAATGTCTCGACGTTTGAGTTATTATCGACCAATCCTGCTTAAAATGATTGTAAAATCATTTGTCATTAACTAAGCGATTCGATGACGTTAAAGTGAACAATCATTTGTGGGATGACTCTCTCTCTCTCTCTCTGAAAGGTAACAGTACAGACCCATATAAATCATACAACCAATAAATAGGATAGATTTAGTTAACAGAACTCCATTTATTCTAAAGTATCTAGTGGATACCTCAGTTCATTAGATAACTCACTCAAACAAATGTGACATATTGATAGGGATGAAGATGTATTTAATAACACTAGTTGTATTGTTGTAGTTTTATGCGATATGCGTTTAAGATAACCTCTAGTCTCTAGTTTATCATTGAGAAAGTATTGTAATGTGTCAATAAATACTGATGATCATCACTTTCTGATCGATTCTGTAACAAACTGATAAGACGATTTAGGTTAAAAACTTTAACATGATATTCAAAACAATTGAAGGTGTTTTGAAAAAATAAAAGAATTTGGTGACAATGGTGCTCATATTTTTATTATTAAAACGATCCCAAAATCGAGTTGAGTAGAGAGCTATGATGGTTAGTAGGAAAATTGATTCCGTTGTCTCGTGAGGTAACACAGAATGTATTCTGGTACAGTTATTTGACAGAATGTCGTCAACTAGTAGTGTATTTAGTAAAACTAATATTCTGAAGATCATTGTCGAATGCTTACAAAGTTAACTATTTCAGGGAATTACCTATCGCTGCAGAACTTTTGATTAGAACATTTTGAAATACTGGGATTTAACATATTCTATAGTAAGGTAAATATTAACATATTTCTTCGAGAATAAATCTAACTGTTCACAATCTCATTAGTATTCTTAATCGTTGTTATAAATCCTAGTTTAAATTTGAATAAAATGTTTCCTGACATGATTAGTATAGTTTATTAATCACTTGTTTATGGTGTTTGATAAACAATAAGACTATCCTTTTAAATATACTCGTACTAATCATTGTCCAGGGATCAAAGTGATTCGAAAAACACAACAGTAATATGTACATTTTTTTCATTACATATAACACAACATGCACCAATCGCATCATGCTTCACGGAGAACTTTTATAGGATGTAAATCCTTTACATATCTGGACAGCATCATTGATGAGCATGGTGGATGTGATGCAGATATGAAGGTGCGGATCAGTAAAACAACAGAAACATATTTATGATTTAATAAGATCTGGAACTCAAAGCAACTGTCTGTAAGCCAACATCAAGGTCAGAATTTTCAGTACAAATGTCAACACAATTCTACTGTATGGGGAAAGTTAGAGAATTAAGAAAGCCATCATCCAGTGTTTATTAACAGTTGTCTACACTATTAGCAACAACCTACTGTGAGAGAGAACAAATCAGATTCCAGCAGAAGAAGAAATCAGAAAAAAGCTCTAATAGTGAATAGAACACACATTGAAGAAAGCACCGAACTGCATCACAAGGCAAGCTTTCACTTGGAACCCTGAAGGCTAAATGAGGAGAGAACAACCGAAGAACACATTATGCCGAGAAATGGAGACAGATATGAGAGGAATAAACAACAATTAGATAACACAGTACAGAGTGGATTGGAGAATGCTTGTTGGCGTTCCTTTTCTCCATAGGGAGTAACAGGTGTAAGTAAGTAAGTAAGTCAGTAATATGTACTTTACAAATATTTTCATTTGTTCATAAATGAATAATTCGACATATGATTATGCTAACAAAAACATATGAGTGACATTTTAAAACAACAAAAAAATCAAAATTATTAAAATTTAGTTACTGAGTAATTGTGATGTAAGTCAGCTATTCAATTGACAGTTATACATAATACTATACACAACATGATTTATCATAGTGAAATACAAGCATACATACAATACAATTTACGTAATAATAATAATAACGTCATTAAATGATTATGAATATTTTTAAAAAAAATACAACTCTATGTTACTAAGTCATTTAATTACATACCTGTTTGTTACTATGAGACAAATTACTAAACAAGTTTTTTACTATAATTAGACAGAGAATAAGTTAAAAGAAGTTACATCGTGTGCATTACCTATCTATATATCATTGAACATTCACTTTAAGGAATGATATTACTTATATTAACTCAATATGATGTATAATATATAAACTGTTCATATTTTATTATATGTCATAGCAACTAATTTCAATTATCAATATCGAGCCAAACAACAACAACAACAAAAAAAGGGGGAATCATGATCTTATCAATCGCAGAAAAATATTGGAAAATTATAATTATTTTATCAAATCTTATATTTATTGTAAGTTATATATTGTAATGTATTTTATATCAATCCATTTTCAGGTATACAGTATTGTGCTTATTTCATTAGGTATAGATAAATTGAATTTTTTAAACAGATTTACCATTATATTACATAATGCTAAACCAATTATAATTCCAATGATTATCTCTAGTGGATTATTATGTCTAATCACTGCATTGATTGGTTTAATTGGTTTAATAAAACAAAAACAATGTATTGCATTGATTGTAAGTAATATATAATACATTCATCATTGATATATATATATATATATTTATATTTAGCATATTGGTGGTTTACTGATTAGTGCAATTATTGAATTTAGCACAGCAACAATGTCAGCTGTTTCTAAGGATCAGGTTAGTTTGATTGTTCCTAACATGCCTATATCATTTACATTCTTTTTTATTCTAGTTTCTTATGAAAGTAAATTCTTCATTACATGAATCTATAATACATTATAATATGGATTTTGATATTAAAAATGAATTTAATAATTTACAAATGACTGTAAGTTCTATTGAAATAGTTTACATAGATATTGTTGTTATAGCTTGGATGTTGTGGTGCTTCCTATTTTCGTGATTATTTGAAAATACATTCTGAACCACCATCTTCTTGTAAACCTACATCATATGGATTTGTAAGTTCATATTTATTGATTATTCATTGTACAAGTTGCCATTATCGATCTTGTACTTCTTTTTATCATCTCATATATCTATTCAAAACTGTCCTGAGTTCGATTACTACTTTAATATATATTTTATATGGTTAAGATCATGAGTCAGTTGAAGCTAGACCACCATGGAAAACCCGGAAGCACTAGATTAATTGAAGTTAGACATTAAAACCGTTGGATACCGGTTCAGTGGTCTAGTGGTTAAGTGCTCGCGTGCCAAACCAGTAGGTCCTCGGTTCGAATCTCGCGGGGGAGGGTGAGGTCGTGGACGCGCACTGCTGAGGAGTCCCATAATAAGACGAAACAGCCGTCCAGTGCTTCCAGGTTTTCCATGGTTGTCTAGCTTCAACTGACTCATGATCTTAACCATTGAAATTACTACAATCTTCACAAAACCCATCTGATATATTTTATAATCATACTATTTTGACAATCAATTATAATGAATTTGTCTATTTAACTTCATCGCCAGTGAATATTTTAATGGATTTCTAAAGTACAAAGTTATTTGGATGAAATGTTTTACTCATGTTTATAATAAATTACCTATGAAAATAATTTTTAATTTGTCTTAGTTAAAATATGAGATTCCTCGTCTCCTTTGGCCTTCAAGATTCCAAGTGAGGGGTTGCTTTGTGATGCAGTTCGATTCTTTCTTCAATGTGTGTTCTATTCACTTCCAGCGCTTCTTCCTGATCTCTTCTTCTGCTGGAATCTGATTTGTTCTCTTCCACAGTAGGTTGTTGTTGATAATGTCTGTCCAACGAATTCGAATTATTTTGCGTAGACAACTGTTAATAAACACTTATGCCTTCTGGATGATGGTTAATTTTAAAGCATTAACTCAATTAGATATTGAGATATTTGAGAAGATTTATAACTTAGATGAATGATTTTGATAGAGTTTTTTCTTTGAGCTGGATAGTTTAGTCATGGAGCAATATCAAAGAAGTAAACAATGACAGGTTTAAACGTCAACAAAAATCAATCAGTATAGAGGTCTGCAGAACAGACTATGAACCACATGTAAAGAAATTCAAGCACTTCACTTCTACCTTAACTTTATACCTATAATGTTGTCACTCAAAAGAAGAACGACGAAAACTCCATCTAGCTCACAGAACAAAACTCCATCAAAAACAATTAAATATCTTAAATGAATGAATTAATTTATCATCGATATCTCCATATACTATTTAATCATTTATTGATTTATTTTATGTAATCAATAATTTTCCAATTTTGGTTGAGATCATGAACCGATTGATGTTAGACCACCATAGAAAACCTGGAAGCACTGGACGGCCGTTTCGTCCTATTGTGGGACTCCTCAGCAGTGCGCATTCACGATCCCACTCACGGGATTCAAACCTAGGGCCTTCAGTATGGCTTAACCTACTAGACCACTGAGCCGTCATTCAATGGTGTTAATGTCTAACTTAACAATCCCCTAAACTGATAATTTACCATTTATTTTATCCGGTTTTTCTTTCTTATTTTTTTGATTATCTTGATAGGGTTGTGTTACAGCGATCAGTCGATATATGCAACAATATATTATAATGTTAATGTATCTATGCTTTATTTTTGCAATTTTAAAAGGGATATATGTAACTATATCAATTTTATTATTTCGTAAAACAGTTAGCAAGGAAAATTCATCTGTGTAAACTTAACATTAACAGCACACACACACACACAAACACAAACACAAAAGGACAACAACATTATAAATTACAAAACTACAATAGAATATCATTGATCTAAATGACATTGTTGATGAGGATTGAATTGTTATGTCAAATTTATACATGAACAGTTTTGATTTCTACATTTTGGAAACATTGATCATCATTCAATTTTGTTATTTGTCAGTTTTTTTTCTTAAAATGGTTTTTTTTTGAAAAACTTCTTCACATTAATCACCATAACAACAGATTGGTTAAAATAATATCAATATTAAATTTATTTCGTATTGTGGTATTATTTGAATCTTTCTATTGATATTTAGGAGTGTAATTGATCAGTCTCTTATTGGCATATATGCATACTGTGAGAATTGACTCGATATTGCTTTAATTTACAAACATTATAAGAAAATATGGATGATGGCTAGCAGAGGAATTCAGTTTGACGCGTGTTTCATTCCATTTGGAACTTGTCAGAGGGATGTACATGTATCTCAGAGTTGATATTTACTGTGAGATTCAAACCTAGTAACGTTTGTTTCAAACACTATTGCGTTATCCACTTAGCAACTGAGTTCTGATAGTCATTTACTTGTGTAATATGGTAAAGCTTAAATTCACTTGGTGTTGTTGTTTACTTGTATCTTCCCACCGATATTTAGGATTGCAATTGATCAATCTCTTATTGGCATAGGTGTATATTATGCGGATTGCCTCGATATTGCCTTAATTCACAAGCATTATAAGCAAATATGGATAGTAGCTAGCAGTGGGATCTACAACGCGCGTTCCTTTCTATTTGTGAATCGACAGCTGGATGTACCTGCATCTGAGTTGATGTTCACTCTGGGACTCGAACCCAGTACCATTCGTTTCAAACTCCAACGTACTATCCACTTAGCTACTGATTCCTAATGGCTAACAACAGGATTAATCTTTCTTGTTTGATGCTTCACAATAATATTAAGTGAATATTGTTATAATAGAAGGATTTTTCAATTTCGAAACATCAGTCGATTTAACTATATTTTGATTTCACTGGTTGAAATCATGAGTCAATTGAAGCTAGACCACGATGGAAAACCTGGATGTGTCACTGTGGCGCAACTTCGTGGATTGGTTGAAGTTAGACATTAACACCGTTGGATGCCGGCTCAGTGGTCTAGTGGTTAAGAGACTGATAGATCTTGGATTCACATCTCGCGGGGGCGGGATCTTGGATGAGCACTTCTGAGGAGGAGTCCAATACTAGGACGAAACGGCCGTCCATTACTTCCAGGTCTTCCATGATTGTTTAGTTTCAATTGATTCATGATTTCAACCATTCTGATATATTTTGATTATTCAAGTTGAGTGTTGTGATCTGTTGAACCTTGAAGAGATCAATAGAGTTAAATCTATACCATATTTTAGATCTAAACATTGCATCAAATCAATATGATTAATATGAAAATCAACCACTTTGTAATTAAGATACAGAAGTGACAGGTAATCTAAGTATTAATAACCCATCAAATTTGAATGTTATGGATATTTTAATTCAGTAAATAAGATCCATGGAAATACAATCAATAGAAGTGAAATAGTATTTAATCTGAGACAACATTCATAAGTATGTAAAGTGATTAGTGTAGTTCTATCTGAAGTTTGTGCTGATGATGTCGTTCAGAAGAACGATGAAAGCTCCACGACTAAACCATCCAGTTCAGAGAATAAAACTCCATCAAAAGTGATTAGTCCATTTGATAAATTGCGATAGTGTTATAAGAAGACAAAGATTATCAGAACTATGTTGTTATATATCAACATAATACACTTCGAACAATATAACCACATATACACTTGTTAAGAACATTTATGCATAGAAATGAATAGCCAACTAGACACATAGACAGTAATGGTTCAGATGGTTCAAATGGTTGTGGACGGAATAGAATAAGCTTTCGCTTAACAGGCTTTCGTGTCTATTAGCAGGGGATCACGAATAACGCCAGGCAGGAACCTAGGTATGTTAACGATAAAAGAGGAAAAAGAAATTGGTAAATCATAGTATGATACTATACTTAGACCTTAAGAATAGATCAAGTTGCCTCTTAAAAGACTTCTGGGAAGTCGCTTGGATCAGCCCAGTAAGAAAAAAACAAAGCTAATCAAGAAAACAATGTGAAAAATAGTATGAAACGTACTATATCGGATAACCAACTAATATGATCAGGATAAGTTTAAGATGGGATACAATTGACATGATTTATACACAATTCATGTTACAACTACAATAAAATCTATCTAATATATAACAATAATACAATAACAGATGTAGATTAATATCATTAGAGATCGAATACCCAATTGGATATAAACATTAAATGAACATTCGAGCAATATTTTCTTGTCTCAAGTCATTTATGTGCAATATATATGTGTGGAATTTCATTTGTTGTCAATAAAACTGATCAACATATCTTCATGTCCATCGAAGATGATAAGAGTTTTTCATTTAGGAATCATTAATGCCGTGTCAGTCAGTCAGTAACAACGTAGAAATTCGTACGTACGTAAATCAGTTCGAGTTGCCATACCACATTATCACACAGATACAATTTTCAATTCAAATCCCATAGTGATAGAGGTAGTAAGAGCATAATCAGTAATCGGAAACATTAGGGTTTGAAGATGTTATTCAAGGAGTATAATACAGTGAAATAAATTTGGAAAGAGGAAAAACAAAGAAACATGAAGAATTCAGAAGATTAGAATTTGGGAGAACACAAAGAGTGTATGCACCTGCGCCATTGCAACCGATTCTGAGCCATGTCATTCAGAGTCTCTAACCATCGGTTGCTATCATCTCGCGGTTAATGCTGTGTACAACTATTGATTCGTTTTGTAAACATACTTAAAAAACTATCACCGTAAAAAATATTCAAATTAATAGTTACTGCTAAAAATTGGGAACCACAGCATATTCTTCAAAAAGCATATCAATGTGCATTGATCTGCTGAAGGTATAGAATGGTATGTGTTCTAGGTAGAAGAAAGAACAAGGGAAATTATAAACTTTTTTTCAAACACAGAAATTACATTGATGAGAAGTAATGAGAACAAGGTTTAATAGTTAAATTCATGAGTTCATTAAAGCTAGACCACTATGAAAAACCTGGAAGGATTAAACAGTCGTTCTGTCTTCGTACGGGATTTCTCATCAGTGCTCATACACGATAACACTCGCAGGATCTGAACCTAGGACCTTCGGTCTCGCTATCCAAGGATTAACGAGATTATCGATCGATGAATTCAAATTTGATTAGTTACGAGATAAGTAAACGATACATGACATATTTTAATTTTGGAATTCAAGACGCTCGTTTCATCCTATTTGGAACTCGTCAGCTCGATGTACTTGAATCCCAGAGTTGGTTCTATTTATTCTATTTTATTTATTGTAAAAATCAGTTGGCTATTTATGGTTAATATACCACAAAATCTTCATGTTCATTGCCAAGCATGATATCCAACTTTGTTCCGTTAAAAAAACTGGTAAGCAACCTGAATTGTGACAGTTATAACAACTGAACAAAGTAGTATTATGTAAAGTAACCATGTACTTGCAGATTTTCTTATGAATGTTCTCGGCTTCTATAAAATAGTGACTTGTAACACTAAATGATGCTAAGACACGAATTTTATAAGTATATGAAAACAGTCAAAAGTGGGACCTCATCAAATAGGTCTACCTGTTAGTAACTACTAGTAACTGCAATAACACAGTTTCATGTTTATTTCCAATTATTTATCAATAGCTTTACAACTGAACTGTACATTACTAATACATAAAACTACAATAAACCATATTGCACAATAAATGTTAATTGATTGATTTATCAGACTATAAATAACTCACAATTCTACAAAAAACCACAACAAATACCCCAGTTACATTCAATATAACACATACCAAATTATTCAACTATTTCATTCCTACAAGAATGTCTCGTGTTTACTTACTGTTCTCGTCTGGTAATATATACATTTATATACAACACTAACATATCAACAATCAGTTAACATGTGTTGAATAAGGTGAAAATGATCAATTTGTTACATCTAGGGAACATCACATTATGGTTTGATAACACATGAATGATAATGATGATGACGCTTATAATGTGAAGAAGAATTTAATTAACATTTTTCAATGTGAATTTTCTAATATTACTTACTTACTTATACCTGTTACTCCCATTGGAGCGTAGGCCGTCGATCAGCATTCTCCCTTCATCTAATATGATTTAACCCATTTTCAGTCGTTCAGTGTTTAGTACTCGGAACATTTGAGTCAGTTTACTTGATTATTCATCATCGTTCAGTTAGATATAAATCGATTGGGATCTACGAGTATGTTATTGGAAAAGTGTGTTCATCATATCAAACATTCTGTTTATCGTAAACTACACTCAGTTTTATTTTACTCATTCACTCACTCACTCAAACTGTAACAACATCTTCGTCAAGGTGTTTAGCATAACTTCACTAGTATTGCTTTTCAGATCATTAGACGTCTTATCTAATTTTATAATAATTTTGAATGTTTCTACACCAACTATTTTTCCAACGGTCACTTCAAAGGAATTCTTCGTCTACTTGGTGCTTTTAAAGGATTTGTTAGACTGTGACACCTGAAGAATATTTTCTTTCTAACAGTGACCATCATATCAAATGACGTTTCTGATTGATATCTGTGATTAGCATATCGTTGGATTGTCTGTTACAACTCTCACTGAAATCGACGTTTCTATGAGATGAGCTCTGAATAAAGATCGATTTTGTTGAATGAATTCAATGAAAGGAATCTGCCTATTCATTGTTCTTCATGACAGCCAATCAATCGTTAGTGAATTTGCCCTAAATATTATCGTAAAATTCAGTGGATGGAAAATTTTATTCGATAATTTACAGAAAGGTTTCAGTCATTCCAGTAAGTTGTAATAATCGTTTCTAATGGACTCGTCATATTCGCCTATAGTTTGAGTGTTGTGGAGATGGATCAGCCTCAGAGATGAGATTGTAATCTGTGGACGAACCAATCAGATTTACGATAACAGATCTTGTATTTCGGGGCGATATTAATTCACTCATTTTGTAGTGAACGAAAACACAAGTGGGGACAATCGAATGCATTCGAATGCGAAATTACAGGACATTTTAGTAAAATCTGAGATCCATACAGTAAATTTCAATCAGTCATATCAGACTTCATTGTTCTTTCATTCCCACACCGATCATTCTCATTCTCTTTTCTTTGATCTTCTTCACTTTCCATTGACGTTACATATTACTTATATCTGTCGACATCGGTAGCACACATCACAATTTGACTAAATACCATTTTAGCATTATAGATGGTGAAAACATTCAATCTAATTCTCTATCCCAACGTTCAACTGTAAATCCTCGTATTGTAATTCCTCACACTAATATATAACCCTCACTTAACCTTGGTGAGCAGATGGACATTCCAAGACCATTTTAGCGTTGCTCAAAGGTCGTCCATAAATTATAATCTCACTGCCTCAAATAATTCTAAAACCAACCATCTCTCTTGTAAATACGCAAATTTAGTTTATCACAAAGTAAATCTGACCTAACGAATCTGATTGTGAACTATGCAGCATGACGTTTATTCATGTTGTAGTATGGTGAATACTGTGTGCGCATTACTCCAGTTATTCGAAGGATCGTTTGAAGAGAATCAGAAACATAGATGGATAAAAGCTTTTTCTCATGTATATTGAAAGTCGAATTCACAGAATCTCAACTACGGTATTCCTTCTGATTTAAATGTTTATAAGCGGTCTCCTTAAGTAAGGTCGTTGTTCTTTCAGTTTTATGAATTAGTTTCATGTGACTGCTAACCACTTTCCATAAAAACTTTTATTGGATTTCTCTCGATTCCTTATCAATTCAGTCCTTTATATTGATTCGACTGTCTCTTAGTAATGAATATTTAGTTAGATTTCCCCTCCTTCTCAATGTAACCACATTTTAGTCGTTCTTGTAATGCTTGATCCAAGTTGGTTTCACTTAAATAAATCCTTTTTAGAAGAAAGTTTGATCATTTATTATGACACGGAGAACTGTAAGTTTCTTGTGATGTCGTAATCATTGAAATCCTTGAAAAATATGCTTGTGAAATTCACGTTTATATATTCATTTAGTGAAGCCACTGTCACATTGAGGGTATTCGACAATCAACTATGAAGATATCTATGAACATATTTCGGATAGTTTTAACATCAGAAATAAATCAATTACATTCCAAATACTCCTATTTCCATAAATTTCATTAACAGTCCGATAATCAGTAAACTTCAACTGAATCATCGCTAAATGATTAGTAATTCAATGTATTAATGCTACTGATAACTAACAAACTGAGTAATTTCCTTTGTTTAGTGACCTGGAGATCTGACTTCAGGTTGATCGTTTACTGCTTGGTAACCAAATATATACATATATATATCGCTAATCTTCGTATGTAATCATGGACTTAGATCACATTGGTGAATAACGGAATTAAATAAGTTAAATACAAGAATGTAGTTTGAATATGAATACTTTGTACAATCATTGGTTGGAAAGAGTAGCGAAATTAAATGATGCGTAATCGAGAAGGTGAGTGAGCCAACTCAATTTAACCAAGCGTAAATGGATATTTATAGTCCGACAAAAAGAAGTTACAGACATGAGATAAGTAAGAAAAAAATGCACATTTATGCGCTTACATAGAAACAGTGAAGGTTAATAAGTGAATAATCGACAGGGTAGAAATGTGGTTTAGGAAGAATGAATAGATTGATTTGTCCATAGCACCAGCCCTTACACTTTCATGTTTTTAACACCTATAATTTACATGATGTACATGAACTTTCAGTTTGTTTTCTTCAGTCGAAAATATCCTTACATGTACCATTTGACAGAATGAATAATTACACAATAAAGGGAGCTATTTCATATCAGGATTAATATGGTCAGCATCCATATTCTTAGCAAATCCATAATTTAAATTTAGCTTGGTAGATAGTTTTTTGTATTTGAGTTGTTTATCTGAACAAAAAGCACTACATTATCAATAACTACCAAGTAACTGTAGAAAATATACAAAAGAGAGTGGTGAAGTAATGAAGCTTATCAAGCAAACCAACGTTAAACAGAATATCACATATCATATACCTCAGTAGAACAAGTAAACTGATAGAAATGTAACATTCAAAACAAGGGAAAAGCCTCACAGTACACCATGGAATTACAAAGAATCTCTTACATATAAATCTCTCTTCGACATTTTATCACAATCAGAGCTCAACGGACTTTAAAATGATATGTTCCACAAAACAATTTATTATTTCCATCAATCTCATATACCCTTCAAACTGTATATAACCTTTCCTCTTCTTCTCACGGTTGTTCTAAAACAATCTGTCAATACGTACAAAACTACATAATGACAACAATAATATATCTATCCTTTGTATTCGGCATCATTGAAGCTGACTATTTGACCATCTGGATTATTCTTTATCTCAAATCTGAAAAGAAACAATTAATCTTCATGAATACGTTGATAAACATCATCGTCCAGTAAGTTATTCATCAATTAGTCTTATTTTCTAATAAGCATTGTTCATACTACTCACAACAAATACAAAGCATATATGTATATGGCTTGTAAATTTCTACTTGTCTAGATTAATTCACCTACTTTACACATTATCATAATGATCAACAGAGAGATTAAATGATTTTTTCATACTCAACTACATTGTGATTGACAATTTTATTTATTTCAAAGCAATTAGTGATTCATATTTCAAATAACATGTAGAGTATCAATTTCTTTAAATGTTTAGGTATATTACGTTTGACAATTTCAACATCAAAGTCAGAATTTTCAATACAGATGTCAACACACTTCTACTATATGAGGCGGAATCTTGGAGAACTACCACAACCATCATCCAGAAGATACAAGTGTTTCCTAACAGTTGTCTAGTCAAAATAATTTGGATCAGTTGGCCAGACACTATCAACAACAGCCTACTGTAGGAGAGAACAGACCAGATTCCATTGGAGGAAGAAATCAGGAAGAAGTTTTGGAAGTGAATAGAACACAAATTGAAGAAAGTACCGAACTGCACCACAAAGCAAGCCCTCACATGGAATCGTGAAGGCCAAAGGATGAGAGGTAGATCAAAGAACACATTATGCCAATATAGACATAAGAAGAATGAACAACAATTGAATAGAACTAGAAAGGAAGGCGCAGGACAGAGTGGGTTGGAGAATGGTGTTCGGTGGCCCATTCTTTATTAGGAGTAACAGGCGTAAGTAAGTAAGTAAGTAAGTAAGTAAGTAAGTAAGCAAGTAAGTAAGTAAGTAAGTAAGTAACGTTTCATCATTCCAACTAAGATAAAACACTGGAATCAAACATGAATTCCTACTGACTATCTTAAAAAAAACATGAATCGTCATTGATATTCTATTCACTCAAAATTTCATTCCATTCGTTGCATATATTTCTCAAATAACACAGTTTATAAGTTGATCAATTTCATTGTTCAAATAATATAGTTTAGATTTTTAGTTTATCAGTAGGTTGATACACTATTCACTAGTTTTGCCAAAAATTCACACATATCATAATTACTGATAGCATATGAAATGATTCAGTGAAATCTTTTCTGATTGAATTTATACCATCATGTTGCTTTCACGTTTATATGTATGAAGAAGGTGAATTTTCACACTTATCAGACTGTTTATATTTCTATGAGATTCATGTTTAGTTAGAAATGATTTAACAGAGTTTTTTAGTCACTTCCTTCCACAGAATGAATGCATTGTACAAATATAATGAATTATATCATAGTAGCCATTTTAACTCAAAGAGTTATGTGTCATTGTTCATTATAGTAAATTCTATTCTAATAGTAGATTTGTACGTCAATACAGTCCTACTATACAGATCTAAAACCTGAAGAACTATTACAACTATTATGAAAAAGGTACATGTATTTAAAAATAGTTGTTTACTCTAGATACTCAATATCCGTTGGTCGGATACCATCTGCAACACGCCATTGTGGGAGAGAACAAACCAGTATCCAGCTGAAGAGGAAATTAGGAAAAGATGTTAGAAGTGGATAGGAAATATGTTGTGGAAATCACTAAACAGCATCACAAGGCAAGCACTAACTTGGAATCCTGAAGGGAAGCGGAAAAGAGGAAGGCCGAAGAACACATTACGTCGGGAAATAGAAACAATTATGAAAAGGATGAATAACAACTGGAAGGAGTTGGAAAGGCTTGCCCATGACAAGGTCAGATAGAAAGTGCTAGTGAGCGCCCTCTGCACGTCTACAAAGAGTCACAGGCGTAATTATTTAATTACCATGTATAAAGTTTAACCGAACAAAGATTTTTACACAATGAAATCAATAAATATTCTTCAGTCATTTATCACATTTGCATCACTTTGATAATCCAGACAATAATAACTGTTCATAAGAATTATAAGCGAAATGGATAGTGGCTAGCAGTGGAATCCAGTTGGACACGCGTTTCGTTCTATTTGGGACTTGTCACCTGGATATACCTGCATCTCAGAGTTGATGTTCATTCTGGGATTCGAACCCATTACCTTAGCTACTATAATGCTTGTAAATCAAAACGATATCGAAACAATACACACAGTATGCATATATACTAATAACAGACTGATCCGTTACAGTCTTAAACATCAATAGGATATTTCAAGTAAAACAATACAAAGTGAATTGTTCATAAGAATGTTGTAAACACTTCTGCAATTTACTTACATACTACTGAATTAAAAGTTAACAGTATAACTTCAGTTTAGAGGTTGTGGAGATTGTTAAGTTTTTTTTATTGAGATCATGAACCGATTGATGTTAGACCACCATGGAAAATGTGGAAGCACTGGACGCCCGTTTCGTCCTATTGTGGGACTCGTCAGCAGTGCGCATCCACAATCCTGCTCGCGGGATCTCAATCCATATAATTTCAATCATATTATGATTAGGCATTACACTTCATTAATTATTCCCTTATCTGATTTGTTAATATAAAATTAACTAATGACAAGAATGTATATACCAATACACTTCATTATATCATACATAATAAGTGAAATATATGGATGTACTCAATCCAAGCATAATTGCTATGACATTACAAATATGTCTAACTGTCATCTCTACATCAACACATCCACAATACAATTACATTGCATGTGTACAAATGAATAAGATCACATATTATTCTGACTCAACAACAACAACAACAACAAACTCCTTTGCCATGATTTGACAACTTACAATTTCAAAACAAATGCATCAAATGTATATGAATTATGATTGAACATACAATGTAACATATACAGTTTATTAATGTGATACAATATGTAGTTTGCACATTTTTTTGTTTCTAAACAACTAAACCTTAGAAAACTTGAATCTTAGTTTTGCTTTACAGAAATCAGTTGCTGCCTTCAATTCGATTCGAAATCATCTTGTTGTTGTCAACCAATATGAATTTGTCAATACCTCAACAATTTTGGACAAAATTATTTATTGTATTAAATAGTTGTTTTGTTGTAAGTAAATCATCTATTCTCATCACTATGATCATGTTCGTTTATTAACCTTATTAATCAAGATATTTGGTATTGTACTACTTGCATTGGGTATTAAAGGATTAGAAACATTGAATAAATTCGGTACAATTTTAAATGGAATCATACCGCCTATCATTCCAATAGCAATATTTATAGGATGCCTTATTTTAATTGGTACAATGATTGGTTATATTGGATTATGGAAACCAAAAAAATTCATTGTTATACTAGTAAATAATAAATTTATATCGATTATTTATGTAATAGCATATTGCATGTTTATGTCTTGCAGTGATTATTGAGATTGCCATAGCAACAGCGACAGCTACTACGGGAGAAAAAGTTAGTTAAAATATTATGAAGTGATTTGTTTATATTTGTTGTTATTGTTGTTGTTAAATAGTTTCAAACAGCCGCTAATCATTCAGTACTACAAGCTGTGAAACAATTTTATTCAAATCCTTATTGTCAAGTAGAAATGGATAAATTACAAAGAAATGTAAGTTATTTATGAAAATATTTGGTATGTTGAAGAAGATTTGTAACTCAAGTGGATGATTTTAATGCAGGTTTATTGTTTAAACTGGATGTTTTGGTCGTGTAGCTTTCATTATTCTACTCAGTAATATCAAAGGAGTGAACAAGAATCAATCAACATCGAACTGTACAAGAGAAGCTGTGAACTACATGTGAAGAAATTTGAACATTTCACTTCTACCTAAAGTTTATGCTGATGATAATGTCGTTCAGAAGAACAATGATGAATACTCCACGACCAAACCATCGAGTTCAGAGAACAAAACTCTAATACAAATATTTGGTTTTAATAATATTACATAAATATACTTATATTTCACTTACTTTTAATAGTTCAGATGTTGTGGAGCTACATCATATTTGGATTATATAAAAACAAATAAAACTGTACCATTCTCTTGTTTTATTGGTAAATTAGTTTATGCAAGAGTAAGTTATAAATTATTTATGATTAATGATTTATATATCTAAAGTATAATGATGATTTTGATAGAGAATTCATTAGAGTTTCATTATTATAGATGTTACTTAATCAACTAATTCAGTCGATATAACAGATTCATTTAATATAAAATGAATGTAAACAGTTTATATTTGTTCATTGTTATCAAAATAGAATGACAATTAGAAAGTGATCTGTACAAATTGTCATTGTTACGTAATACAACTATGTTACTGAGAGCATTATCTCTGAACTAGTGTTCTTTGATGAACAGTTTAGTTCCATGATTCTTCTCATTTTGTATTATGTTCTATCCTGTTTTCTGTGGTCAGTTACATACAATTCACAATATTCATTCAAGCTAAATACATTGCGTATATTATTATTATTATTATTATTATTGTTATTATTATTATTATTATTAGTCGCTTTACTCAGTATTATATTTCTGATACAATATAGAATTATCGGTGGTCTAGTGGTTAAGCGCTCATGCGTGAGACTAATAGGTCTTGGGTTGGAATCTCGCGAGGCGCGGGCGTGGATATACACTGCTGAGGGGTCCCATAATAGGATGAAACGACCGTCCAATGTTTCCGGGTTTTCCATGGTGGTCTAGCTGTAATCGACTCATGATCTCAACTATTGAAAAAAGTATTTCAATAAGTTTCCGTTTCGTATTGCTTGCATATTTCTATACAATCAGACGGTTACTTATCATCGAGTCCTATCTATCATAACATTATCCTTATACCATTAGTTGACAACAATGATCTAACCTACAAAAAAGTATATATATATATATATATATATATATATATATATATATATATTGTATTAGTTCAGAAATAGATTCAAACAGATACCATTTATTTTGTTGGTTCTCCTTAGCTGCTTACAACCTGTAATATTTAAAAATCATAATTACATAATGGGTTTTAATTGCTTATATGAAAGAGTTTGATTGGAAGTTATATTGAAGACATATTTGTATAGTATAGCAAGGGTATAAATAAATTGAATAGACTGAATATTGTAAATATATATACCTTATGTAAAAGAACATTCGAATCTCGCGGGGGGCGGGATCGTGGATGCGCACCGCTAAGGAGTCCCATACTAGGACGAAACGGCCGTCCAGGGCTTTCAGGTTTTCAACGGTGGTCTAACATCAATTGATTCATGATCTCAAAAAAAAGAAAAGAAAATATATTCTTTGATTAGTTTTAGATCATTTCAGTGATACAAAAGAAGTTATAATGAATTCAATAGTTAGTCAGTTAGTTTACAATAATCCTCATTATAATCAATGTATACTAACTTATGTAGAGATAATCAGAATAAGAAGTGTTATAGAAACATATACAAATGACATTTGAAATCAGGTTATATAATCATTTAAAGATCTTCATCATATTAAAAGATTAATATATTGAATGAAGAATATTCTTTAAGATCAATTCTTTTCAGATTCAACCATTCAATATATCTAAATGAATGATCCAAAAATTGGTCAAGTTAAAGGTAAAGTGTATTGTTCAAAGTGCAAATATATGAACTATAGGATTGTTAAACAAAATAGAATACAGTTATTCATGCTGATATGACTTACATGGAATAATAACTTGAATCTACATATATGTGTTAAGTGAAATTGTTAAGTTCCATGATCAAAAATAAATATGGATCAGATAGAATGAGAGAAATCATAGTTCAATGATATCACATGAGTTTTGTGGATATTATAGTAACTTCAATGATTAAGATCATGAGTCATTTGAAGCTAGACCACCGTTGAAATTACTATAATATCCGCAAAACCCATCTGATATTAATCAACATATGTTCGCTAGTGACTGGCTTCACGAGGTATATCCTGGAGTTCTACTGAGAAGTAGTGACCAGTGGAGTTCAACCAGGTCTGTTGTGAGATAGTAACTCACTGAAGACAATGGTGAATGTGTCGCTCAATTTCGTGGATTAGTTGAAGTTAGACATTAACACCGTCGGATGCCCGTTTAGTGGTCTAATGGTTAAGTGCTCGTGCCCGAAACCAGTAGGTTCTGAGTTCGAATTCCGCTGAGTGCGGGATCGTGGATGCGTACTGTTGAGGATTCCCACAATAGGGCAACGTGGTCGTCCGGTGCTTCCACGTTTTCCATGGTTGTCTAGCTTCAACTGACTCATGATCTTCATCATTGAAGTTCAATGATAATTCAATCAAATATTTAATGAAAGATTACGTTGATTTCGGTTCATCAATGAAGTTAAATTAGATAGAAACAACTTTCTATTCATAAAGTTGTAACTAAATGCATGAAAATCGTTTATTGTAAACATTTATTAGTATTAGAAATCTTTCACAATTCACATGAATTGCCTGTTATGAGATCTCTCGTATTTCACTCATTAAATATTTAAATCACAAGACTATTATTATTATCATTATCACTATTGGTAACAAAACCAATATTGCTTTTATGGTTTAAGTTAACAAAACGTAATAATTTGTCTGCCATACATTTATTATTATTTATTTGAAAACATAAATATTGGTACAAAGGGGCATTGAATACAAATGCTCCATACAAGTCACTTGATTCGTATGTGGGCTGTGATATTGTCCGAGTGCCCAAACCGAAACAGTTGGTTTTCTTAGGGGGCCCACATCCAGAGCCTTTGGCCTAAAAGTCTAATCCACAAGGCAATGGAGCAACGTAAAGAAGTGCAGTGCCATGGTAACCGGTGGCCAATAATTGGCTCATATGTCATTTACTCCTCCAGGATCCTGGAGCTCATGTGGAACATTGGTTTGGAATCAGGGTTTTTCAACTCTCCTAGGTAGATCCTCCATATCCACCAACCGGGTTAAAGCGCTTTTCATCCGCTCAATCTCGTAAACAACAGTAATACCATGAAAAGGCAGTGAGTAGAACTTCCCTGGCAGTGGTGCATACGCGTGGCCATGAGAGAGCATTTCGAGAGGGAGAGCTGACTTTCCCCACCCTTAGCCGTATCACAACATTCAGGAGCTAATTTCCATACACAATATCTAACTGAATAATTTCACTGAATTTATGCGTAACGGAGCATCTACAAATGACACAAATTGGACCTTTTCTAACCTTTAAGCCGATGCTAAAGTTTACTACTTTATCACGCAACATTCCCCAACTCACTCAATATTTATTTATGTTTACCTCATTTTGGCCAATGTTACATAATACTATCAGGTCATAAAACTTTCAAACCTAATAAGATTGTTGAAAACAGTTGTTCGCTCAAACACTCCTAATATTTTAAATACCATATAGAAATTTCTGAGCTATCAAGTTCAAATGAATATCCACAGTTTGATTTTAACACTTCACTTAACTCATCACTCATACATTGAAGACTTGTATACAAACCGCACAATATTAAATTAATGAAACTTAATAGGAATTAGTATCAGAAGGGGTTTTGAGAAAATTGCAGTAAATTCATTAGTTGAGATCATGAGTCAACTGGAGCTGGACCATCGTGGAAAACCTGGAAGCACTAGACCCCCATTTCGTCCTATTGTAGGACTCTTCGGTAGTGCGCACCCACGATCCCGCCTCGTGGGATTCGAACCCAGGATATATCAGTCTCGCGCGCGAACGTTTAACCACCAGACAATCGAGTCATCATCTAACGGTTCTAATACCTAACTTCAAAAATTCACGAAATTGAGCCACAAATTCACTATTGTTTTTAGTGAGTTATTGGCTCACAACTGACCCGGTTGAAATGCACTGGTCACTGCTTCTCACTAGAACTCCAGGATATACATCTTGAGGAGTCCCACGATAGAACGAAATGGCCGTTCAGTGCTTCCAAGTTATCCATACTGATCTAGCTCTAATTGACTCAGGATCTCAACTATTAAAATTAATAGCAATTCTCTTTCTCTCTTTTGAAATTTACTTTACTAGTGCACTTCTTTATTTTTACTGTTATAAACGTTATTAATATTTGAAACAATTAGTCCCTATAGTAAATTTAGATAATGCAATGAGAAGACGCAATACATTTCGAATAATCTGATCACATATAATGTACTTGTTAAGACATTTTTTTATATTAAGATTAAAAGGTCAACTAGTTAGGTTAAAGGTAAGCCGTAAAGAAGAAAAACAATAATAAAGTACACAAAAATAATGTGATAACCATTCTGGATAATAAATCAGTATTACCAGGGGAGGTGTTAAGGTCAAGGACAAATTATTTTTGAATGCATAAAGGGGGTTTCAATTTCCGTATAGTGAGAGCTTTAATGAACTCTAATATACGTCCTTGAAGGCTTTTGTACAACACTACAAAAGATGATTTGATGTTAACCTTATGACCAGTCTCAATCAAATGTTTCGTGATGGAGGATAATGTTTGTCTATCCTATGATCTTATTTGACCATTGGAATTCATTTGTTTTTAGAACAACACATATAAGCGAACAATATTGTTTTCAATTAGATCGTCATCAGGCCTTACTCTAATATACATGAATATTTATACGAAAATGTTAAACCAATCAAGACAATATGAGTCAATAATCACAATGAAATAGAATAAGGTAAAAATACAAGTTTATAGTAGGAAGAGAGGTGTACTGATAGTAGTTAGAATAATAAAATAAGACAACAAAAGTCTTATCAAACGTTGAACGTTGGAAATAGCAAGTCAAACAAACGTGGGGTAAATAGACTTGGAATAGTCAACACAAGACATTAAAATCATCACGTAATAAGAAGTGTGTTAATGATTAGACAGTGAAGAATACAAACAGAAAGAGGCGAAAAATTACAAACAAATAATGGATGTGGAAATAAGGTTAATGATAACAAAATAGCCATTTTGATATGTATTCACCCATCCTTAATTGCAAATCACTATGTACATGTTACCATACATACATGTAAATTGATAGACACAATCGCTTATGTGCTGTATGGGCTTTTAGTGAAACATAAACTATGTCATTTCAATAATGACACAGTTGAGCTGTATAAAATATTCGGTTGTTAGCTCATTTACATCTCCGTTTCAACATGAGACTATTTGTGTCATCTTTAAATGGTAACATAATATAAACTTGTTTAACGTTACAATATTGATTTACAATTATATCATTTATCACTTTCATTTTTCTCACTTTCTTTTTTCTTTTTCTTTTTTTTTGTTTTGTTTTTTTTGTGTAATATAATCAGGGTTGTGTAGAAGCATTCAGTGATTATGCCCAACATTATATCGTTGCATTAATTACTATGTGCTTTGTATTTGGTATTATTAAAGCTATTTATGTGATTATCTCTATTTGTTTATTTAAAAATTCATTGACTAGAAAAAATGCATCACCATAAATCTTACTACTTATTTACTTATTTACGCCTATTACTTCCAATCGAGTAGGATAATGAAGATGATAAACACCAATTGTTCTCTTCTCTTTTCTTTTCATTCTTTTTAAAATTGTTTACTTAATACAACAACAATAATCATAAACAATCATGTCATCAATACAAATTGAATCATTATTGATTAAAGTAAAGTCATATATCACATTTGACAATCTGTATTGCATGGATACTGTTGTTGATTATTTTTGGGCCATTATTATTATTATTATCATTTTTATTATTATGTAATCAACAGAATTAATGATAAGAATAAAACAAATATTGTTCTTTTTTGGTTACTTGTTTCTATTACATAATATGTAAACAACTGTATACTTAAATGAATTGCTCAAAGAATATGAATCTTGAATAGTAGGAATATCAACATAACACTTAACTTAACGCAGAGTGAACATCAACTCTCCGAGATGCAAGTATATCCAGCTGACCAGTCCTAAATAGGACGAAACGCGCGTCAAACTGGATTCCACTGCTAGCCACTATCCATCAAATAGCTTACAAATATCTTATGAATTAAGGTAATATCGAGGCATACGCACAGTATGCACATATGCCAATAACAGACGGATCAATAGCAGTCTTAAACCTCAATGGGAGGATACAAGCCAAACAATATCAAGTGAATATCAACATATTGTTTATTATTCAGTTGGTATTGTTGTTTATTTGGATCTTCTTATTGATGTTATAAGACTGTAATTGATCAGTCTTTAATTGGTATATATGGATATTATGTGTATTGACTGGATATTGTCATAATTCATAAACATTCTAGGTGAGACTATAATATATGGACGACATTTGAGTGACGCTGAAATGAATCTGACGATGGACACTTACTGATTAGGACTAAATGACGGTTATAAAACAGTTAGAAATTTTATTTACAATTGTTAGTTAGAGTTTAAATTAGATTTAGGGTTTTCATCACGAACTGACATCAGCTATAATGTCAAAACTCTATTTAGTCAAATGTATGGATGAATTTCGCGCCGAAATTCGTGACTCGCTATCTTATATCTGATTGGTTCGTCTATAAATTATAGTCTCGCTGCATTCTAAGAAAAGATGGATAGTGGCTAGCAGTGGAATTCAGGACGTGCGTCTCATCCTATTTAGGAGTGGTCAGCTGGATGTACCTGCATCTCAGAGTTGATGTTCACTTCAAAACTAGAACCCGGTACTGTTTGCTCTAAACACCATCGCGTTATCCACTTGGCTAGTGAACTCTGATAGCCATTTGCTTGTTCAGTGGGGTGAAGTTTGAATTTACTTGATATTGTTTACTTGAATCTTCCCATTGATATTTAGGACTGTAATTGATCAATCTCTTATTTGCATATGTGCATACTGCGTACATTGACTCGATATTGTCTTAATTCACAAGCATTGTAAGAAAAGATGGATAATAGCTAGCAGTGGAATTCAGAGCTCACGTTTTGTCCTATTTGGGGCTCGTCATTTGGAGCTAAGTGGATAACACGACGAAGTTTGAAAAGGATGGTGCTGGGTTTGAGTCCCACAGTGAACATCAACACTGAGATGCAGGTACATCCTACTAATCAGTGCCAAATAAGACGAAACGCCCATCCTGGATTCCGCTGCTAGCCACTGTCCATCTTTGCACATTACTTAACACATTTTTCATTGTTATGCCATACTTCAATTAATTATACGAATATAAATCGTTGTAGGTAAATGTTCACACATTTTCTTTCAAATAGAATTAAAATTAACCGATTCCTATTAACCAGTAAGGATAAGTCACTGTAGTGTGAGAGAACAGGTGAAAAGAGAAAACATTCGAGAAAAAAACAACAATTACATAGCTATGAACAATAACCAACCAAATTCCAGGCTAACCGAATAATCTATCATTAAGGTGTAGTGAAAAAGAACACAATTCGTGACAATCATACCAACTGAGTTCCGTTTCTGTTCTTTCCTTATTGATCTTCTACTGAAATACATCCTATGCCTGATCACCGTTATATACTACTAATGTGGATATAAGTAACCCACGCCACAGAGGTACCACCAGACTATTTAATTTAGTATTCACTTGATTACAGTTTTATTTGTTATGACTTTCCAATATTATGTGAATATTATCTTCTGTTATCTGTAACATCAGTCTAACACTACATGATAAAACAAAATAGCTTTCCACTAATCCATAGTTCCTAAATGTAATATAAGTATGATCAACTTTCTTAACTATTCACTAAATGATTGATGTATGTCGAATTTTGATCGAATTTTATATTCCATGTTAATACAGAAAGTGTCAGTTCCATGCCTCGATAAAGGAGAAAGTTAGAAATAGGGTCGACAAACCCATCCTTGTAAAAAACAATCTTGGAAAAAAACAGAAATGCTAACCGGACTAAACAAATTCAACCATTTCAATTCTATCCTCTGAGTTGAGAGAAGAATTATGACGTCTCATGGTGAAAGCCAAGATAATTAGAAATGACCTAAAGGACAAATGTATATCATTTTCTAGGAAATAGATCCATTTTCTAAGGGATAGATATGTATATACACACATGAGTATTTATGCATATTGTTTGGTAGCCCAGTAGACTTTTTCTTCCACTCTCGTCGTCTTGCTCAAACAATCAGTTTGGGTGGTGAGCACATAGTACTTTAGGCATCAGTATCAGGTTTCAGACACCGCGCAGCATAACAATTTTCAATACGAACGTCAAGACAGTTCTAATGTATGGAGCTGAAACTTGGAGAGCTACCACAATCATCATCAAACATGTATAACTATTTATAAACAATTCTTTACGCAAAATACTCAATATTCATTGACCAGATACAATCAACAATAACCCACTATACCACAGAACAATCGAACTTACAACTAAACAGGAAATCGAGAAAAAGCATTGGAGGTGGATAGAACACACATTGAAGAAATCATCGAACTGGAGCACTAGATAATCGTTAACTTGGAAATCTAAAGGCCAGAGGAAAAGAGATAAATCGAAGAATAGATTGAGTCGAGAATTGGAGGCAGGTATCAAAAGAATGAATAGCATTTGAGAACAGCTATAAAAGAGAATAGAAGACAGAGTTGGTTGGAGAATTGTGGTGGTCGACTTATGTTTCTCCACGAGTGGTAACAAGAGTAAATAAGTAAGTAAGTAAATGCACACTTCAGTAATTTTTCGTTACAATCACTTTAATTAATATAAAACAGAGCTATTGAAAAACTCAAGTACACAAAATAAATATTTGTTATCGATTACAATATTATTATGTTTAAAACACCTTCTTTCCATTTCATACTCTACCTAAACATGAATACATGTATCATTACATCACTATCTAAAAGAATCACATTTAAATGGGTGTGTGTTTATGTAACGTTTCTCATTCCTGTTTGGGTTTTTCTTAACAATCAATCATCATTAATATTGATTTTGAAATAATAACACGTATAAGTGCTACATATAAGGCAGAAAACCAATATTTCTTACGTCTACAATAAACTAGAATCGTACATGGTAAGCACATATTTGATGATGATGATGCTTTGGATGACGATGATGATGATGCTTTGGATGACGATGATGATGATGCTTTGGATGATGATGATGATGATGATGATGATGATGATGCTTTGGATGATGATGATGATGCTTTGGATGATGATGATGATGATGCTTTGGATGACGATGATGATGATGCTTTGGATGACGATGATGATGATGCTTTGGATGATGATGATGATGATGATGATGATGATGATGCTTTGGATGATGATGATGCTTTGCATGACGATGATGATGATACTTTAGATGATGATGATGATATTACTGATTTCATTAAAAGTCATATATATGTATATATATATAAATTGTATTGTACACTAACTGACGACATATTTGACCGATGTAAAAATAGATTTTTATACAATTTCTCAACAGTATGAGTAAATTGATTATCGAAGATGTTATGTCCATCAATGCAATAATCTATTTGATTGACATTTTGTTTCATTGCGACCATGTTTTACATTAAAACTTCATTTTATAATAACCCAGTGATTAAATTTCTTTTCTTTTTCTTTTTCCTTCTTTTTTTTTAGAATTAAGAAAATGATGTGCGTTTCATTATCAAGAGAATTTTGGCAGAAAATATTTATTACATTAAATACTTTATTTGTTGTAAGTAGTATAATTCTATTCATTAAAAACAAAAACAAAAAAAAGATATTTAACATGATTCTACTTATATTAGGTATAATAACACAAAATACTTTATCAAAATATACAACCATTTTACATACACCAATATCAGCTATCATTCCAACTATTCTATTTACTGGATGTTTCGGTTTGATAGCTGCATTAATTGGATATATTGGATTATGGAAACCAATGAATTCAATTGCTTTAATGGTATGGATTATTCAATGATTCTTCTTTTTTTTTTTGGTATTAAATTTTCTAAAGCAATTAGTTCCTTTTAAAAAATTCTTCATAAAACAATGAGAAGAGGGAGTTGATCTGAATAAATATGATGTCAGAATAGGGGTTATGACGATTATTAATTTGTTGATTGAGAACATGAATCGATTGATGTTAAACCATCGTTAGAAACCTGGAAGCCGTTTCGTCCTCAATTAAAAACTTAATAATCTCCACAACACCTAAACTGATAATTAACATGTGCTCACTAGTGACTAGCTTCGTGAGGAAATTCTCGGAGTTCTAATGAGAAGCCGTGCCCCATGGAGCTAATCGGTGTAGGGTAGAAACAGGTGTCTATCTCAGTGAAATGGAAGATGGTCGCGCAATTTCGTGGACTGGTTGATGTTGGACACCAACACCATTGGATGCCAGCTCAATGGTTAAGTAGGTTAAGCGTTCGCGCGCGAGACTGAAGGCCGTGGGTTTGAATCCCTCGAGTGGGATCGTAGATGCGCACTGCTGAAGAGTCCTACTATAGGACGAAATGGCCATCCAGTGCTTCCAGATTTCTAACGGTGGTCTAACATCAATCGGTTCATGATCTCAATCAAAAAATGTGATGTATTTACGCTATACATTTCGAATAATCTGGTCGTACATATACTTACCAAATCATTTTATATGAAAGTTAATAAGGGTCAATTATATGAAAGGTGACAAAGTGGAAAGTAACATTTTTTTCTTATATCGTATAGAAAGAATAAGAAATTATCGCATTATCCAAGGGCATAGAATAACTTAAGGGTTACTTAGGTAAAGTCAAGGTTACAACAAATTGTTTTTGTACACATAAGGGAAGGAGGGGTGAGGTTAAATTTACAGCTTCAATAAACTTAACCATTCATCCTTGACAATATATTAAAAGCTGTATTCATGTCAAATTAAATTATCTTTTTTTCTTTTTCTTTTTCTTTTCTTTTCTTTAGCATATAATTAGTTTGTGTATTGTTACACTTATTGAAATCGGTATAGCAACAACATCAGCTGTAATGTATGATCAAGTTCGTTTCATTACAAATTCAATATAATATATATTCTTTCATTTCTATAGTTCTATACAACTACACATAGTGCATTATTAGATAGTGTGAAATTCTATTATGAAAACCCACAATATGAAATGGAAATGGATCATTTACAAACTGAAGTAATGATACATTTCATCTTTATTATTATTGTTTACATGATTGAAATATTGATTTGTTTGGATATGACATTCATGTTGATCATGTTTTCTTTCTCTTCTTCTTTTTCTTACGTTTGTTGTTGTTCATAGTTTAAATGTTGTGGAGCTGAATCTTATTTGGATTATAGAAAATTGGGTATGAATATACCATTCTCTTGTATCATTGGTTATTTAGTTTATGCAAGAGTAAGTTAATATATGAATTATTTCTTAGTAAATTAAACTGATATGTTATACAATTTCATAGGATTCTAAGATCTTTCTTAAACTGATGAATTTCGTGGATTAATTAAAGTTAAATATTAACACCGTTGAATGCCAGTTCAGTGGTCTAGTGTTTAAGCGCCCGTTCGTGAGACTGATAACTCCTGGATGGGAATCCCATGAGGCAGGGATGTAAAGTCACACAATAGGACGAAACGGTACTTCCAGATTTCCCATGATGGTCTAGCTTTAATTGATTCATGATCTAAACTATTGAAATCAAATTCATATGGTATTGTTTTACTTGAATCTTTTCATTGATATTTAAGACTACAATCGACCAGTATCTTATTGGCATATGTGCATACTGTGCGTATTGACTTAATTCACAAGTATTATAAACAAAGATAGATGGTAGTTAACAGTATAATCCAGGATGCGCGTTTCGTCCTGTCTGAGGCTCGTCAGCTGGATGTAGCTGTATCTCAGAGTTGGTGTTCACCCTGGGACTCGAACCCAGTATCGTTCACTTCAAACGCCATCACGTTATCCACTTAGCTACTGAGTCCTGATAGCTACGTGCTTGTGCGATGGGGTGAAGTTTTAATACAATTCGTATTGTTTGATTGAAAGTTGGCGTTTGAATAGAACGAGTTGAGACTATAATTTATGGACGACCTTTCAGCGATGCCAAAGTGATCTTGAGAATGAGGGTTATAAACCAGTATGACAAATTAAAATAATGATTTACAATTGATAGTTATGGTTAGGAATCAAATTTATGGTTTTTATCACGACCTGACATCAGTTAAAATGTCGAAACGTTGTTTAGCCAAATGGATGGATGTATTTCACGCCGAAACCTCAGACTTGTTATCTTATATCTAAAGTAATTAGTCCCCTTTATAAATTTCGATAGAACAATGAGAAGATGGAGTTGATCTGAAAAATGTGATGTATTGGTGCGTTATTGTTCGAAATGTATCGCGCAAATAAATCACATTTTTCAGATCAACTCCATCTTCTCATTGTTCTATCGATATCTTATGTTCGATTGATTCGTTCATAAATGATAGTCTCGTTGTGATTAACACTTATGTAATGTAATAAGTGGTAGAATTGAAAAACTAGGATATAATGAAATAACCTTTATGTTATAAGGCCATAAGAAACCTTAACAGCCAGTTCAAGTTGAAAATACAAATACACCTTCAGACATTTGATAGATATATTTTCTGTCAACTGAAAAACACCATAGACTTGAATGATTTCATGAAATCTTGACTAGTTGACTTTTTTTTCGTTTATATGTTTAAATATACTGGTGATTACATTTTGAGAGGTCACCTTGTGTAATATGTTTATTACATCTAAGTTGAAGGACTTCCTTCTATTCATCCAATGTAATGTTTTTGGCTGATACTCATATAATAATCAATACAGTTAATCAGTCAGTCAGTCACTAACAACGTAGAACTTCGTACGTACGTATATCAGTTCGAGTTGCCATACCACATTAGCACAGAGATGCAGTGGTCGATCCAAATTCTGTAGTGGTAGAGATAGTAAAAGTATAAGCAGTAATCGGAAACATTAGGGTTTGAAGATGTTATTCAAGGAGTATAACCCAGTGAAATAAATTTGGAAAGAAAATAAGGGACATGAAGAATTCAGAAGATTAGAATTTGGGAGAACACAAAGACTGGATTCATCTGCGCCATTGCAAACAATTTTGAGCCATGTCATTCAAGATCTCTAACCATCGGTTGCTATCATCTCTCAGTCCCCAACCAGGTAATCTACACCTACCAACATGGCTCACTCAGTCCACTTGTCAGTGACTTCATGGACTTGTGCCATGTTTTGGTCTGACCACCCCTAGCTTCCTTCCAACCTACTCCTACACCATAAAACATCGCACGTCGGGCATTCAGTGTTTGGACATACGTAACACGTGTCCCAGCCATCTCAACTGATAAAGTTTCACTACGTCATCAATTGATTTGCCATCCTTACCTAGTACCCGTTTCCTAACAACTGTGTTACTTACTCGATGGTCCCAGGATATACGAGCAATGTTTCGAAGACACCTATGATCGAATACTAGTAACCTACGAATATCCTCTACTCTTACCGGCCATGTTTCACTGCCATAAAGTAGGACGAAACGAACTGCTGCACAGTAAACACATCCTTTGGTTGATAGACGGATATCTCGCCCACGCCATAAATGACACAAGTTGGCAAAAGCTAGTCGAGCCTTCTGTATCCGTGGTAAAATGTGTATATGTAAATGTTTGATTAAGTGGATAATCATATTTTATACAAAATGATCAAATTAAATTCAGGCTAGATGTTTATCTTATTGTTATTTAGATAATTTATAAAGTTATAAATTCACTCCGTACTGAGTTCGAGTCCCAGAGTGAATATCAACTTCGAGATGAAGGTACATCTAGCTGACAAGTCTTAAATAGAACGGAACGTGCTTCATGGATTCCACTACTAGACACTATCCATCTTTGTTTATAATTTTCAAAGTTGTCTACAATTATTCAACACACTATACTGTAAAATATAATGTTTGTTATTCTTAGTTTTGTCATAAAATTACTAACTAACATTCCACTATAGACTTGGTTAATCATGAATGAACGTTAATGAAATGAATTCAGATTACTCTTAGTTGATCAAATAAAGTATAGCTTAGTTATTGTTAACATTTTCCATTGAGTCTGACCGACACAGTGAATCACCATTACATCAAGAACACCACTTATCAAGTTCAGATTTGAATATATTCAGTTTATCGTTTAGTATAGGATCATTTGTGAAGACTTTATAGTTTAAAGTAAAACTTGATCTTAGATAAAAGTTTCACACTACAATAAAATAGCTAACCAGTAATTCCTTAGTTTCCAATCATATTCTAGTTAATATTTAAATGAAGAGTATCTTATTCTGTGCTCTTTTTTTCCAACCTGTTACTTAAAACAGAAATGTAATTTTGAGATAGTGGAGATTTGTAGGTCAGGTGGATGATTTTGATGGAGTTTTTTTTCTCTGATTTGGATGATTTGGTTGTGGAACTTTCATAGTTTTTCTGAACGACATCATCAACATGTGAACAACTGTGGAAATTTTGAATAGATGCAACTTCAAAAACACCAGGGAATTTTTAGAAGCTTAACACTCAGGTCAATCAACAATCAACAAGCATATTGAAATCGATTCAATTTACTGACCATAAGGAAAATTATGGACAAATATAGGAACAAAAATCAAAATAATGAAAGATACAACCAAAATAAAGTAAACAATGATAGGTTTAAGATCAACAAGAACCAATCAACATCGAAGTATAGAGGACAAGCAGCCAAACTTATGTGAAGAAATTCGAACGCTTCACTTGTACCTGAATTTTGTACTAATGATGTCGGTCCACAACCAAACCATCTAGGTCAGCTAACAAAACTCCATCAGAATTGTTCATTTATTTATTTCCCATAAACATTGGTACAAGGAGGCACCAAATAGATATACGTCACATAAATCATTCGATTTGTGTGAAAGCTTGGATACTGCCCGGGTTCCCAAACCGAAGCAGGTGGTTTTCATAGAGCGCCCACACCCAGAGCCTTCAATCTAAAGGTCTGACTCATAAGGCAGTGGAGCAACGTAAGGAGATGCAGTCTCATGGTAACCAGTGGCTAATAATTGGTTGATATGTCATTTGTTCCTCCAGGATCCTGCAACCCATGTAGAGCATTGATTTGGAATCAGGGTTTTTCAACTCCTCTAGGTGAACTCTCCGTGTTAAAATGTGAGACATTCATTTTTCATCTTCTGAATTTCGTAAACACCTACCCCCGCCACGAGAAGGTCGTGTATAGGACTTTCATGTCAGTAGTTGTATGCACGTGTCCATGTGAAAGCATTTCAAGAGAGAGAGAGAGAGAGTGAGTGAGAGAGAATATTTGTAGGTATCCGTTTTATAATCCTTAATCATGTTTCCTTTATGACATAATTTATCTAAACTTTTGATTGATCTCATATATTTCTTTTCTTTTTCTTTTTCTTTTCTTCTTTTTATATAAAAAAAAACGACTTTTACTTAACAGGGTTGTGTTCATATATTAACTGATTATATACAACAATATACAATTGTATTCATTTCATTATGTTTTCTATTTTCAATTATACAAGGGGTTTATTTAATTATTTCCATTTTAATGCTTAATAGATCTATGGATACAAAAAATTTATGTACATAATTATATTTATTTTTTTTTTATTTTTTTTCCAAAAAAAAATAATCAATAAATCAATGAAATAAAATAAATAAACATGTTTTCGTTGATCAAAAGGATATTTCATTGTTACTATGATCAATTTATTGATTTATTGAGTTAATTCATTGATTTGAATGATTTATTGATTATTCATTGATTGATTGATTAATTCATTTTATTAAAGACTATAATACATTGAATGTTGTTGTTATTGTTGCTGATTTGTTTCTCTCCTTACTGTTTTCTATGTTATGAATAAATAATTGTTTAAATTAATTGTATGAATCTTATTAATTATGAATGATAACTTTCATTTTATATGAATTGATATGATCAGTGTGGATAGGGAATCAACGATTGTTGTTCCAATCATGATGTGATGGTTGAGCTGATGAAACAAATTGAGCTTTACTGACTAGAACAATCGTTTCTCAAGATCCTACCTCAGCCCTAATGGGTTGGTATCTGACGAAATCTCAGCACAGATTCGAAAAGCTCGTTTGGCTTTTGTCAACTTACGTCACCTATGGCGAAGGAGAGATATCTGTCTATCAATAAAAGGACGGGTATACTGTGCGGCAGTTCGCTCTGTTCTAGTTTACGGCTGCGAAACATGACCACTAAGAGTAGAAAATACTCGTAAGCTACTATTATTTGATCACAGATGTTTTAGAAACATCGCTCGCATCTGCTGGGATCACCGGATAAGTAATAGTGAGGTCAGACACAGGGTTTTAGGGAATGATGGTAAATCAGTTGATGAGATTGTGAATCTTCGTCGACTGAGATCGTTGGACCGCGTGTGACATATGTCTGAACACCGATTACCATGACGCGCAATGCTGAATAGTGTTGGGAATGACTGGAAGAAAGTAAGGGGCGGTCAAACCAAAACCTGGCATCAGTCCACACAGTCACTAACTTCTGGTCTGAGCTATGTTGTTAAATGCAGACTAATTGGTTGTGGTCCGCGTGACTGTTGTAACCAATGGTTGCAGACTGTGGATGACATGGCTCAGAATCGATCACAATGGAGTATGTGTGTATACGTTCTGTCTTCCCTCAAACTATGAGATTAAAATTGCTTCATATCTTTCTTTTTACAAACTAATTCTTTCTTCCTGTACTATGTCCATATATGCAATCTTTCTTTTATATATCACCACTATTGAATTAACTACTTTTATGAATCCGGTTTCCATCTTGTTGTGCTAATGCGGTATGGCAACTTGGAGTGATGCATATATGTGCCTGGTCCCACGTTGTAGCTGACAGACAAGATCCCACCATACTAGACAGGTCAGTTTAAAAGCGGTAAGACTAAAAGCAGTAAACTCAAGATCTGAAGGTGAAGTCATACTGTTGACTGTACAGAGGTGTGACGTCAGTAAGGTGTTTCTTTCAAGCAATCAGCATGACAGTGATGCTACCTTAGAAAAGGTTGAAAAAGGTTAGAAAAGGTTGACCCTAAAAATGCACATCTCGCCTTATCCCATGGATTTCTGTGTCCGGTGGTAAGGTCTCAACAAGTACGGAGCTAACATGAACATTACTCACAAAAAGGTCGTGTGTAATCGGCCTAAATTTGTTGTCCCTTAGGCACTGCAGTCACTCACTCAGCTCACTAAGACCACCCATAACCCAATTTTATTTTCAGGTACCTCTGGAAGAACCTTTCCATGGTGTGAGCAACCGGAAAGTGATAACTGCCCTCATACCTCTAACAGCATTCAAAATCACCGACTGATATGAAAACTATGAGTGATTCGGAGTTTTTCTACAGCAATTGACAAGACATTATGATTAATAAATACTTCTAACAAGTCAGTCTAATCAAGTTGATTGGACTTGATAGATGTATTTCGTTAAACATGTTTTGACAAATATGAATGGCGAATGTTCGAATACTTTCATATAATACACTGCTAAGGGTTCTCTGTATTTTAACGATCCTGTAGAAAACTAATAAGTTAAGCGTGTTGAGTGCAAGCCAGTTACCTACCGAAGACAATGAAAGATGATCTTGAAATATTGTGGATTGATTGAAGTTAAACATTAACACCGTTGGATGTCGACTCAGCGGTTTTGATGCTAAGTGTTCGCGTGTGAGATTGAAGGTCTTGAATTCGATTTTTACATATGGCGTCGTGAATGCACATTGGTGAGAAATCCTATACTGGGATGAAACGGCTATCCAGTGTTTTCAGGTTTTTACTGGTGGTCTAACACTGGTCTATCTCCACAAACCCCATATTGAAAATTTAATTCCATTAAAAATTGTTCTACATCTACATTGTTATGCGTATTTTGTTTATATGGGTGATATTTTAGGAACCAGTTGCCATAATTAATATATAAATATCATAATAAATAGATTATAACACGTAATACTTACAATTTATTCAGGTGTCCTAGACTAGTACATCAATAGTGGACTAAATGTGTCAGTGATAATAGCTCCGTTTGTAATAATATATATAGTTTTTGATAGATGAAATTGATTTCCTTGTGTTTATTTAAGTAACTCAAAAGTTATCTTTCGACTAATGTATATCTCAATGGTTTAGATCATGAGTCAATTGAAGCTAGATCACCATGGAAAACCTGAAAGCACCAGACGGTCTTTTCGTCCCAGTATGGGACTCCTCAATCGTGTGCATCCACGATCCCGAACCCCACGAGGTTCGAACCGAGGACCTATTAGTCTCGCGAAATTCGCTTAATCAACTAGACCACTGAGCTGGCATCCAATGGTGCTAATGTCTAACCTCAACCAATCCACGAAATCGTGCGACCATCTTCCATTGTACTGAGAGAGACACCTGTTTCTACCCGACGCGGACTAGCTCCACTGGTCACGGCTTCTCACTAGTACTCCGAGAATTTTCTCACGAAGCTAGTCACTAGTTAGCACATGTTAATTATCAGTTTAGGTATTGTGAAGATTGTTAAGTTCAATCAAAAACTTAACAATCTCCACAACACCTAAACTGAAAACATAATGTAAAGTGATTTATCAACAAAATTCTACTGTCATTTATCACTTAGACTTAATAATTACCCATACTTATGATAAGTAGTATATACTTGATAAATGATTGTTCATTTCTTCGTCTTTATTTCATTTAATACATGAATTACATAATACAAATTAATGTAAACAATTCATAGAAGTAAATGAATCATTAGAGGAGGATATACGGACTTAATTGAATTTCATAGTTTACACCACGAACTAACTTTAGTTAGATAATAGTTTAAAGCTAGAAAGTACTAGTTAGTTGTTTTATGATTCCTCATAAGTAAAGATTCATGACTCTACTGAGGATTAAGCTTAAAATATTTGAAGTTCGGTATGAGGTTCTTAGATTTAGATTCTTGTGTCGTTATCCAATGGTTGATATTTCTAACTTCAATCACTTTGAGATATTATGTAATTTAATTACTTTCCATTATTATCTGTGAGTAACTGCCTCTCATTTGATATCATCATGACTTCTCACAAGAACCTTTGGAATAACATTTCGAGATTAGATATCAGTGAGTACATGATTGTTATTACTACATAGGGTTTATAGAAATTTTTTTGAATTTTATAACATAAGTCATGAGCTAACTTGAGCTATGCAATCATTGGAAATCAGGAATTACAGTTTGACTTTTTCGTATTGTAATAAGACATCTTAGAAATGAACAATCATGAACCTGTATTCGAATTGAGATTACCAATTGTAGCGTGGTGTCGAGTTGAGGTTAACTATGAACACCACTACAAAGAAACACGTGCCAAATGAATCAGAAGGCGTAAGAAGCTCGTTCCAAATGACTCCATAAAATCCCCGAGAAGCCGAATATCAGAAGACAGTTAATGGACCAAGTCGAGGTTTATTAGCTGGCGATCTCGTAGCATCGAAAGGATACCGAGATCGTGCCGGGATACAACCTTGGTTACAGAAGGTAACCGAATTCGCGCGCAGTTACAATCAAAGTGTAAGTATAAGAATGGAAGCACAAAGTAGCTGTCATTAGCACAGTCAAACAAAAGCACGTTAAAACAAACACTGGTACAGTTGGTTATAATAATAATTGTTGTTATTAAACCAGTCGTGTTCTCGTGATAAACGTGAGTCACTACAAACCCAACACAGATTGAATAATCCAGAAAATGAAATAAATTAGATGTTATTGGTGATTAATTGATGTAAGATTTACAGTTTTAGTGGTGGTAAGTTTCAACCTGTATATGTCTGTAGTACAAATCATAACTATGACACTGGATGACCCTTCCATAGTGTAGGCGACTGGGAAGTGATAACCGCCCTTATACTTCCAACAGCACTCAAGACCAAAATAATAATATAAAGTGTTCTCATCTGCGTACTTTTGAATATCGTTTACTCGTTTGTTTGTTATAGAACTAAATGATTACTGACTTTCTACTCTGTCTTACTAAGTACAATTAATGTCTTTTTTTGTCTAAACCATAGTGCTAATCAAATTCTATCGGACATATTGCTGGTTTCTCACGTTTAATAGACTTGCTGATTAGTACCAAACAGAATCATAAATTTCTATCGACTACCTCCAACCCTCAAGTTCAACTATTACTGTGAGTACAGGAAATACTTACTAACTTATGCCTATTACCCTCATGGAGGAGCATAAGCCGCTCAGCAACTC